GAACGAGCGACAGGTCACAGTCTGAGAAAGTTTTCCGAGTGATGATTGTCAAGCAGTGGCATACAATCACAGATCGAACAAATCCGTCTTCCATCCCTTCGACGCAGTTGGAGCAGAAGACTCTTGCCGCGCGTCAATGTGCCGCTCCTCCCTTCTGATCCTCTCATTCCCACACTTGACCTCCTTCGCCATTCCTCTGACATTGTCCACCTGCTCTTGGGCAGTCCTGAAAGGCAAGAGCAAGTCCGTTTCCTCCGTCGCTTCTTCCCAACCTTCTCTGGCTTGCTCGACCGGTCTTTGACCCAGAGATTTCCAATTCTGCTGCACTAGATCGTCGCGCAAATCCGTGCGCTTCGTCGATGGACCTCGCTTATGAGGAGCGAGAAGACGAGGTGCTAGACCGACCGAAAGAGCATACGAGCCCGATGTGTCCGATTTGATCAGCGCCTGTAAGTCAAGTCGTAACGACGAGGAAGATCGCGCAGCGTGTTTCAAATCAGCAGATGAGTGTACAATCACGCGCGCGACTGCAGCGTTCCTTCTACTCACAGTCGGGGTGACGCGCATCGTTTGTCCTTTACGTAGCTGTCGAGTCTGGCGATTCTCATTACGCTGCCCTTCCTCAATCTCTCTTCTGTCCTGCTGCTCGCTCCGCCGCGCTCGCTCTTCTTCCTCACGTCTTTGTCTGTCCTTTTCTCTCTCCTGTCTCCTCTGCATCAACTCCCTCCTCTTGCGCTCCAGTCTTCTCCTCGCCCTACTCTTGCCAGCTTTTTCGTCCATCAATACGCGCACATAATCCATCCATTCCGCTTTTCCCTCGCTGCTCGTACCCTCGCGAGATCTGGCAAGTCTGGTAGCGCGAACATGCAAGTCCCAAGCTTTCTTGTCCGCCCTTTCAAACGTGTCTTCGATGAGCGCAGCTACGACTCGTTCCAGGACCAGCCGAACAATCGGTCTGGCAAGGGGTCTTAGAAAGACGGAATTGAGGATCCAATGATGAGACTTTCGCAGCTCGAAATCGAAGGCTCCAGCATTCACAGCAACGCTTCGAACGTTGAAGAAGTGTGTCCTTTGTCCGCCATGAACCAGCTCCTGCGCCCTTTCCAGCAATTTTCTGAGGTCTGCTACATCCTCCGACGCCTCTCCATCCTGTTCCAGCAGCAGTAAAGCCTCTTCATCCGACCCGGTTGCCAAGCACAGATGAAGATCCTCATCAGTCTTCGGACGAGCGACGCGCGATTGGGTAGCGGGGAGAGATTGACCAGCATCGACCAGGTCCAAGTCCACTTTCAGACCCTCTTTCCACAGTCCCAAGTCCAGCAAAGCAGATTCGCGATACGCAAACCAAGCTGCTGGACCTTGACAGATGCACCGACGAGATTGCCAAGAAGTCTCATCGGACGCGAGGCAGCCGCACAGACCACAGCAGCCTTGAGGGGAAGGTGCGGTGACTGTGGACAAGAAGATGATCAGAGTTCAGCAAATGCGCAGCAGATGCGACACGCCATATCGACTCACCCTTTTCTTCGACCCAGAAGCTG